ATATTCTGGACATAATGAAATAAACACTACCTGGAAATGGCGTGGCATAGTGAATTGAAGAGTGGCAGGAGAAAACTACGAATAACATGCGTAACAATATTGATTAAATAGATGGCAGAACAAGAGGAAAAGTTAGGGTGAAGGGTCAAAAGTTATTCAATGCAAGAAAAGGTAGGAAGTTGTGGAGATCAATAATAGTTTACTTTCTGGAACTTCGTGGGATAAATAAGGAAACGAATATGTTTTATGACAAATATAATCTTATCAGAACATTATATAACTGAGAAAGTAAAATGTTTGGCCAGCCATAATATTTTTATTTTTCTATTTTTTTCTTTTTTTTTTAATTGAGCCCTGGATGAAAGATGTATAATATCAACCGTTTGACATCAAATAAAATACATTAAATTCTATCTAAAGTAACGCGTCCAGTTATTTTTTCGTGTCATTAATTTAGTATTTTCCTCTTTCTAGCAACTACAGGATGTTTCAGAAAAAATGATCTCATTTCGGAATCTAATAACTTGACTAATTCTCATTCAAATGATCGCAGATTTTAATAGCATATGTACAAACTCCAGTCGAATTCATTACATTCACTTACGTGCTAATACCCTTGGGAAACGTATGAATCCCCTTCTCCTATGGGTAAATAGCAGGACATACTGGGTTCTATAGCCTTGCATGGCAAACTACTGCAGGAATAGGATCTCCTTCGTCAGTCATGTATTGAAAGATACATGATAGCTTCAACGTGTATCACGCATAGCACATAACTGACTGAAATTCACTTACGTGCTAATACCCTTGGGGACAACAACACTAAACTATGTTTAATGCTTTTAGATTTTTCTTTTAAAAGTTATAATATGCAATTCATTGGAAACAAAAAGGTGTTTTGTGTTTCAGTATATGCAGAAACACAGTCGAAGAATAATATTGAGCGTGCAGATGTCGGAAGATTCATTATAAATGTACCGATTGTAATGCAGACTTGGACATGGCACAAAGAGTTTCAAAGACGAAAGTTGTTTGTGCAAGGAAACATGAATCTGGAATACCACCAGTTTGTGAACAGATGGACCAGCGTGTCCGAGAAATCATTCTGCGAAACCCCAAGAACTCCATAAGAGCTAGTCTGGAAATGAAGATTCCTACAAAAACATTTTGACGTCTCGCAAGGAAATGCACGCGGAAGACTATTATCTCTGTCAAGACGTAAAAACATACAAAAGACAAATTTGAAGAACGTTTGGTGTTCAGTGATGAGATCACATTTAATCGGAATGGCAAAATAAACAATCATAATGCTCGAATTTGAGGTTAAGAAAATCCTCATGGCACAGATGAGTACATGATTGACTCCCCAAATGTGAATGCGTTCAGCGCCATATCCAAAAAGAATCTTCAGGACACGTTTTACTTTGAGAGAAATGCGCCCGGCGAAGTTTATTTGTAAATGCATCAGAACTGGATAAATGATAATCTCATTTTAAATGTACATAGACACATCTTTTTCCAACTCTAACTCATGGGATGCCCACTAATTTTTAAATATACCCACATGCATTATTGTTTGTCTTCTTTAAACTTTACCGGTTTTATAAAGCTGTTTCATGAAAATAACTATGAATAAAACTTAATAATTAATGGAAATACCGCAAGCAACATGTTCAAACAATCTTCAAGAAATACACAAAATGTTTTCGAATGAACACGTCTGACCTAAAACATGTCTGAATGCAGTTCACCAAACTTGCTTTTCTAAAAGCCTTTTAAGCTGTTCTTCGTTCGTAAGAATAGAAAAAATATTGAAAGTGTAATGATATGTAGAATAATTCAATGATTTAACAGAATTTCGGATATATAGCGTATTATAATTCCTATATTGTACAACTGAATATTTATTTTTCATAGATTTATTCATCAGTTATTTTTTATGTCAAATTTGAGGTGCATCTTTCAATTTACATTACTGTCAGGTTGGTATTTGTTGATGGATTACAAGAATCCAGTTAATGGAATTTATAAAACACGGTATTTTTTTAATATTTTTCCTTGCTTTATATTTGATCAAATTGCTTAAACAACATTTTGCGAATACATCAGGTTTGAAACGGCTATATCCATATATGAGAATTACTTGGATTAAGGATTATTTCGTGACAGCGAAACAATGCACAGATACAAAACACAAGTGATACAATATTTTCGCTGTTTATGCTTGTTTTGACTGGAATATAAATAAGCAATTTTCACTATCAAGTTTTTGATTTAGCTTTGCACGGTGTTTCGGTAGATGTAGGTTGTGTCTTTCCTCAGTTGCCTGCCACTTTCTGTAATTTTTCCTTAGAATAATGAGGAGAGTGCATTTTGCAGTCGACAGAGCGTTTGGGGGATTTTTTTTTTTGTCATTCAGTGCTTATCAAGTTTAATAGCGAATATTGGAAAAAGTAAATACAATTCTACGTTACCGCTCGTCTGAATGAATTAAAATCGGAGTTGTTAGGGAGATTTGATTTATTATCGCAGTTAAATGCGAAAACATATCCTTATAATTAATCCAAACAGTTAACAGGGTGTTGATCCAAGTGTTGTGAATTTAATAAACTATGTTTATTTTGAATAATTATAATTAAACTATTTATCTACCAAATTGCTTACATTAGATCCATAGAATGAGCTACTAAATAAGGATATCTATCATAATTTCATTGTAATGATATTGCCTAAGTCTGTCTTTTCCATCAGTTAGCATCTACAACCGAATCTATTATATATATTCTTTCTAGCACACTGATTTACACATTATGTAAGTATGTTTTGTTGGCATATCTAAATTATATTTAAGCATCAACTCTGTTTTCATATTTTATAAAGTAAATCTGTGGTTTAATGTATTGTAACACACAATATATATATATATATATATATATATATATATATATATATATATATATATATATATATTTTTGATTACCTGTATGCTGTACGATCATTTTCGATAGACTTTCATGTTCCTAGCTCTTTCTTTTTTTAAAACCTTTTTTTTTCGTTCGAAATTGATTTGATCATTAGTAAATCAAGAAACCGAAGGTTTTCCGAGACGAGTGTAGTTAACTATATGAATAATGACTTACCGGACGTGTTTTGTCTTCTGTGGAACTTTATCAAGGCAATGCAAGGATTTTATTTATAAGTATTTATATACAAGAGCAAAAATATTATTGTTTTTTGAATATGTTTAACACTCATAAATATTCATCAGGTGTGTTGAAAGGTCAGATAGTCTATGAAGGACACAAAGTTATAAAATATCGAAGGTCTAAAAAAAAAAAAAAGGTGAGGAAGTGATGCTTTAGTAAAAAGAATTATGTCCAAATTAGTATTTAAATTAATTGAGTTTGGGATTAGTTTATGGGTCATATATTCTGAATAACATGAGCGATTATATTTAAAGGTCTTCTTTTAATTTTTCTAATTATGTAACTTGGCTTGAGAAAATAGAAATTCTTTCAGAAATGGAAATATTAGAAAAGATCCACGGCGCACATTTATTTTTTCATGGGGTAATTTAGCGGCACTCTCGAAAAATTTCTAAGAAACACACAAAATAACACAGACGTGTGTCTGTGTGTATGCGTGTGTTATATATAAGATAAAGAAAAAAAGTAGCAAACCTTTAACAATCTAACGTGTTTCGATTTTTATTAAAGTTTTGTCTGAGACGATGATATGGGGAATCACGTGCATTTGATTCTTAAACGAATGTCACAGTACACATGACACAGTGGATAAAGGCGTTCGTTAGATCCAGTGTCAGGACCCAAACTGTGTGACTTCAATACCCGTTTAAGGCAGTGGAGAACTTGGAGAGGCGAATTAACAGGAGATAACTGATATCCATTATACATGCCACGTGGAACTAGATCAGTCTACCCCAGTGAGCGGAATAAACGGTTCAGTTCGACATTCCAGCCACCTGAAGAAAGCCCGAGCGTACAACGACTGAAACGTTGTAATAAATATGGCGACAAAGATGAGGACAATAGTCCGAATAATTTAAATAGTGTATACAATACTTTATCTCAGAAATATAGACAGATAATATTAGTTTCTAGTATTTTCAAATGTTCACTAGGATTCCAGGAGATATGTACAACTGAAAGCAAAACATTTTCTTGATATATTTCTTAATGCTCCGATCGATTCATTCTATAAAATATTTCACATTGCACACATTCAGTTGATTCAGTTATATACCATGTGTGATACATTCTTAGGCGATCATGATATTTCGATACATGACTGACGAAGCAGATCTTTTTTTTCCTGCAGAACGCTGCCATTTTTTTCTGCGGTACACCCAGTTGCCATCTGTCCTGCAACTTACCAATATTTATTGATGGGGGTGGAGTAGAGTATTCATACTTATTCTAAGGGTATTAGCACGTAATTGAATGTAATGGCTTCCATTGGAATTCCTCAATCCCAGCCGCTATCCATTACTGCACCCTTACAAAGATTAATTTTACTAAATCCTTTGATATGAAGATTTCGAAAAGAAATAATTCATATTTATTCTGCAGGTCAGATATTTTTTGCAAGATATTTGAGGTTACAATATGTTTTTTTTTAAATTTTATTGTGCAACAGGATGGCTTTTCTGTAGGTTTGAATAAAAATGATAGAAATCAGTTTATCTCGAGAGATAATGGCAATTACTTTTTTTATCAAAATTATGGTCTTTTCTGGTCAGACTGGTGTCAGCTGAAGGGTGTAGATCGGGTATGTATATTGATGAAATATACTGCCGCAAACCCACACGGACTCTCTCTCGTCCGTACCGAAAAGATCCGGATGTGTACAGGGCGTTAGGTCTGGGATCGGTTTAGATGCAGGTTTGCCGGAAGTTTCTCACTGTTCTTAGTCAGCCACTTTCAAAGGTTTGCCGGATGTTTCTCACTGTTCTCAGTCAGCCACTTTCAAAGGTTTGCCGGATGTTTCTCACTGTTCTCAGTCAGCCACTTTCAAAGGTTTGCGGATGTTTCTCACTGTTCTCAGTCAGCCACTTTCAAAGGTTTGCCGGATGTTTCTCACTGTTCTCAGTCCGTCACTTTCAAAGGTTTGCCGGATGTTTCTCACTGTTCTCAGTCCGTCACTTTCAAAGGTTTTCCGGATGTTTCTCACTGTTCTCAGTCAGCCACTTTCAAAGGTTTGCCGGATGTTTCTCACTGTTCTCAGTCCGTCACTTTCAAAGGTTTGCCGGATGTTTCTCACTGTTCTCAGTCAGCCACTTTCAAAGGTTTGCCGGATGTTTCTCACTGTTCTCAGTCAGCCACTTTCAAAGGTTTGCCGGATGTTTCTCACTGTTCTCAGTCAGCCACTTTCAAAGGTTTGCCGGATGTTTCTCACTGTTCTCAGTCAGCCACTTTCAAAGGTTTGCCGGATGTTTCTCACTGTTCTCAGTCAGCCACTTTCAAAGGTTTGCCGGATGTTTCTCACTGTTCTCAGTCCGTCACTTTCAAAGGTTTGCCGGATGTTTCTCACTGTTCTCAGTCCGTCACTTTCAAAGGTTTGCCGGATGTTTCTCACTGTTCTCAGTCAGCCACTTTCAAAGGTTTGCCGGATGTTTCTCACTGTTCTCAGTCCGTCACTTTCAAAGGTTTTCCGGATGTTTCTCACTGTTCTCAGTCAGCCACTTTCAAAGGTTTGCCGGATGTTTCTCACTGTTCTCAGTCAGCCACTTTCAAAGGTTTGCCGGATGTTTCTCACTGTTCTCAGTCCGTCACTTTCAAAGGTTTGCCGGATGTTTCTCACTGTTCTCAGTCAGCCACTTTCAAAGGTTTGCCGGATGTTTCTCACTGTTCTCAGTCCGTCACTTTCAAAGGTTTTCCGGATGTTTCTCACTGTTCTCAGTCAGCCACTTTCAAAGGTTTGCCGGATGTTTCTCACTGTTCTCAGTCAGCCACTTTCAAAGGTTTGCCGGATGTTTCTCACTGTTCTCAGTCCGTCACTTTCAAAGGTTTGCCGGATGTTTCTCACTGTTCTCAGTCAGCCACTTTCAAAGGTTTGCCGGATGTTTCTCACTGTTCTCAGTCCGTCACTTTCAAAGGTTTGCCGGATGTTTCTCACTGTTCTCAGTCAGCCACTTTCAAAGGTTTGCCGGATGTTTCTCACTGTTCTCAGTCCGTCACTTTCAAAGGTTTTCCGGATGTTTCTCACTGTTCTCAGTCCGTCACTTTCAAAGGTTTGCCGGATGTTTCTCACTGTTCTCAGTCCGTCACTTTCAAAGGTTTGCCGGATGTTTCTCACTGTTCTCAGTCAGCCACTTTCTGGGCTCGTGTCTAGATTTTCGAACTGGTTGTATTTCCATAGCATTTTCCGTGTTTGGATATGTCTGCAAGTTAATGGAGTTTTAAAACCAAATGTTTCCTCATCGTGATTCGTAGTATGTTTGTAAATAAATATATTAATTTATAGATACTTATTTTCGAAATTGTGCTATGTAGATATTACAATATGTGATGAGATAGACAATCTCAAAAAGCACACTTGATATTACTGTGAAATTACTGAGTTACAGGAATACAACTCTAAAAACAACGAAATATTTAATGAAATCAGAGAATAATCCAAAACATTATTGTAAACATAGACAAGAAAATAAAAGCTTTAGCAATAGTTCAAAAGAGAGTTGAGAATTTAATAAAGAGGAAAGGTTAATTTAACCAAAATAGAAATGTTCAATAAGTTGCACTTGAGAATATAAAGACATAAGATAAAAATATATTAAGAACATTGGCTAAAGACATGCGAAATATTAAACTATTACATTTAAGTAAACATCGAAAAACAAAAGCTAATTTACGGAAAATTGATTTCTCACTAGTAACGATAACTTAGTAATGCACAGTGGAATTGAATATTCGTACAGTTTTTTGCGTAAGTTCAGTCTAAATTATTTTCGTAACAATAGAATCAGTTGAATATTCTTTCTTTGACATTATAATATTGATAACTAAATGATGAGATTATTCTGTTCCACGTTATGTCGGCCTTGTGTCAGTCAAGACTGAACTTAGTAAATATATTTTAATATCACTGGGAATTAATAGTCCATGAATTTCCTTGGCTACAAATCTGCTTCGGCGGTCAAGATACGTGAACTGAATAAATTACTGAACATTTCCCGAAGTCAGGCTCTTTATTTTATAGTCATAAAACTTCATATTGCTTATCAAACTTAAAGTGTTTTGACGTTGCCACAAATATATCGACAAACAGCAGCATAAATCTGGTCTTTTGGCGCTAATACACTGATCAGAATCTCACACTTTTTCTTCATATATATATATATATATATATATATATATATATATATATATATATATATATATATATGTGTGTGTGTGTGTGTGTGTGTGTGTGCGTGCGTCAGGTGGTGTCCTGGGCGTACTTACACAGGCAAAATACACTACTGTATGATAGTATTAATTTGAATAGGTATATAGTGCTATTGCATAATAAGCAGTCGTTCGTGGTAATCATTCGCTTGCCCTTTTTAATAACCAACCTTGCTATTTCACCTATAAAATCAACCACATTTGGGCCACACACACTCATAAATACAAGCGCACACACACACACACACACATATATATGCCTATAATTGTAGTGACATACACACAACCCATACATCCATTTAATAAGTAAAAATAAAATCATCTTTGATAATGGCAAAGAGTATAACCGAAAGCCCACAGAATTACGGAACATTTGGATAGTTTCTTATATATTATGTCCAGAAAAGAAAACACTTATTCGATAACAAGAAAAATTAAATAAAAAGCTTAATCTCAGTACCTTTTCTGTCGTCTTTAGTTTATTGATGCCTATCGTGTCTACTCGTCCCCCCTAGCTATTGTGATGACGACCAAACCGAGACTCCTCCACAGGAGCTAGCTTACATGCCGCTCGATAGGGCGGCATTTAAGCTAGTTTATAATAAAACGTGCACTGCAGTTTTGGATGCAAAAGGAAAGATTTGCTCCCTTTGAAAGCAACGAGAGTGACTAGTATAATATATTAATATATATTTTAACCTCGCATAATGTGGTAACCCTGAGTCTTAGTTCAATGAATATCATTCCCTGCACCTAACTTTTCTAGGGTTTTAAATAAGCTATGAATCCCTGAAATCGGATCAGTCGGAACGGAGGATTTCCTTGGACACACACATACACACACACTTTACGTTATGTATAAGATAATTCCCGTTCCCTTCATTTACACCTAATTTTGCTGAGTCTAATTAAATAAAATAAAAGTATTTTAATTTTAAAATAGTTTCTTCACTTTTCCAATCATATTTCAAGGTTTGTACATATTGAATACATTGATAATTCATTTAGATCCGAAATTCAAAAAAATTCATCATCACGGATATTTTAAATTTAGATTAAAGATAATAATAAGAATATACTTATTTTTATCACGTCGTATTCAGTAATTCAAAATCTTATTCTGGTTTCTTTTTCGTAATCCACATCTGTAGCGTACAAGCTGGCAATAATGACATTTGGAAAAGTATGTAACTTTCTTTCTTTACCACAGGTATGGATGAATGTGTACTGTCGGCAGGGTCCTCTAGACTTCGGTGGAAACCATTTAAAGAGAATTCTTCATTCATGTCGTAGGAAGCACAAGAAATCACACTGCTTTCATAAAAGTGCATGCTGATTCACAAATATTAAAGAAAATTAGAGAGCATTTTTCGACTAACTTCTGTAGCTAGATGAGTTTTTTAAGTCCTTATTTAAACTTTTAGAGTGTGCCACATAATTTTTTAATTTTGAGGAAAGAATCAATATCACTTCCTGCTTATTAGTTGATTAATTTATCATTTAACTTTCATTTTTCGAATGCATACAATTAAAATAATATTTTATGCTAATTTAGTTTTCTTCCGTTCAATCACGACTAATTTAGTCAGTGAACCCAACAGAGATCTCAAAACTGTACTGAATCCAAAAATACTATGATTGAATAAAAAATTCGATTTTTTTTTAATTTTCTTGTTTTCTTCACTGACATGAGATTAAATCCATGCTTTTTTTTGTTATTTTTCTCTTATTTCTTTATTCATGAAAAATGATCAATCAAAAACTGACCGGCCGAAATATCAAATCAAATCGTGTCTTCCCTACGGAACAGTAAATAATAAACTGCATTCATAATTAGAAGACACTGAGCTAAAAACCAACAATAAATATTTACATGGCACCAAAGTGACACAGTTTTAAAATTAGTTATTATGTTGTCCATGAGCTCTAGAATTGCTAACACTTCATTGTACGGATTTATTTCGCTGTATCATGTTTTATGATTTCTTATTCTTAATTGAAGGTAGACTGATACTGCAACGGTTATCAGTGCCAAAAGAGAAATTCGTCTGTCGATTTCACATTCTTACAATGTCTGTAATATTCACTTCAATCTAATGCTTTTGGAAAGAGCATGAATCCATCATTCAGTTTTTCTTCAGTTTTAGGCTAAAGGACAAGACTGACGGGGCTCGATTGTTTCGGTCTGCAGCCAGTCTAAGAGAGAAAATCGAAACTCAATATCTTGTAAATCGCGTGAAGAGGACTGTCACATTATCTGTATATTCACTGAAACATATTTCTATATCAGCCCTTCTTGACATCACCTTGCTAGGGATTCTATAGGGGAAGACTTGAATATATATTTGGACATGTTCAACTCTTTACTACACTAAAAATCTAAATTCTATTAATGCTTAAAGGAAATCAGCCCTTGGTATGGATAGTTCGAAAAGAAATTGCAATGATTACTGTGCACATGTTATCTAACACTAGAGCAAAAGCAATCGATAATTCACAACCAACCTTCTTTCTGGCTTTATGTCATTTTATATTGCATTATTTACTCTTTAGAATCTGTATATTCTTATGCATCGTTGTTATTTGCTAGGGGAAAATTAGAAAATAAAACAAATGAATTCGATATTAACTAATCACAAATCAGTAAGTAAGCGGTGTTCTGTTGTTACTATGCAAAAGCGAAACTAACGAATTATGTATGTAACGTAATATTGGGATTAGGTTTGCATACTTTACGACAGCCATCATAGAAAAAAAGTGATTAAATGGTATTGCTTAACATACAATAATATATCTCTCTGTTAATTCGAAGAATTTAAAAATGCCAGTTTCCTTTGAGAAATTAGTAAGATAATCTACTCATTTCAATCTCTACAGATTATTGCGCAATTCCAAGTGAGATGACATTATGTAAATGGAGTCCATATTATCGATATTTAATAAGCCAACGTCAGTATGGCACAAACAAAAACGAATCGGACACAAATATTCTGTTGCATCACTAACAGGAAATATCTTCCGGAGAAAATCCTGACATTTTATCAGGTTTCGTAAACTGTTCATCACTGGGAGAGATTTGAGATATTTGTCCGAGAAAACAGCCTATGCAACCGAATCCCAGTGATAAACAATATTTTGTAACTTATCTACACTATTCCTTAAGGAAATAAAATATTGAGTTTTAAAACTTTTCACTTTTAAAGTATATATTCGGAGCATAACTTTAAGGGACATCATATCACGTACTTACGTCGGAAAGTCCTTAAGTATAAACAGAGACATACATACACACACACACACACACACACACATATATATATATATATATATATATATATATATATATATATATATATATATATATATATATATATATGATAGAAATTAATGAGGATTTGAGATAATTAAGTAATTCATCGAGTCTAGAAGAAACCTCAACAGAATGCAGAAAGCACTGGACGGCCGTTTCGTCCTATATTTGGGAATCATCAGCAGTGCGCATACACTAATGAGAATTGAAACCCGGACAGTTACATTGACAGGCAAACATCATACCAACTGTTCTTCTAGACTCGATGAATTACTTAATTATCTCACACCCTCATTAATTTCTATCATTTGTATATCCTAGCTTGAATGGGCTTTAAATGCTCTGGATGGAGCGACTTGGGGATAGCAGTTGTGGCTCTAGGGGGCACAGTCTTATGGGTAAAGGAAACTGGGATGAGTTCCACCTCGGAATATGTGAACGAGCGGCGCAATATCGAGTCTAGTTCGCTACCTCTTCGTCACCGAGTCATTAGTACAGTTGGTATGACGTTTACCTGTCAATGTAACTGTCCGGGTTTCCAATTCTCGGCAGTAGATGCGCAGTGCTGAGGAGTCCCAAATATAGGACGAAACGGATTCTGCATTCTGTTGAGGTTTCTTCTAGACTCGATTAAGTACTTATATATGGCCTAACGATTGCGTCTAGCATGAAACAACCTATCGACTATCAATGTTCACTTTTATATTCACACACGCTCTGATATTGAGCGCTTTATCCCATAAATATAGCACACATTTAAGAGTATGTGTCTATATATATATATATATATATATATATATATATATATATATATATATATATATTATATATAATATTATATATTATATTATATATATATATATATATATAATATATATATATATATATATATATATATATATATATATATATATATATATATATATATATATATATATATATATATATATATATATATATATATATATATACACGACATGCGCATATATATATATATATGACGGTTGCTGAATCAGGTGACCCATCAAAGCGTCATGTGCCTATGATGGTACTCTCCAACATACGTTAAACTGATGGTACCCTAGCGATTTTTATATTCATTCATAGCACGTTAATATAATTGGATAATGCCTGTCGAACATAAAATTTGATTTGCCTCTTGCTATGTTACCGACGTAGTAGTTTATGCAACGATTTAACATATACAATCAAATAAATAAATATAAATAAATGTACGTGCAAGTATTCACACACACGAAATAAATTAATTGATTTTTCCGATTTACCGACTCACAATGTCGACAAAAACACATATCAGGGCTCAATATTCGATAAATTTATTATCATTATTGTTATTTTCGTTATTATACTCGGCAGAATAAAACACTTAGCATAACCTTTAAATTTCAAATTTGTAATTCTTCTGATGTTAGAATGTCGTTAGAAATGTAAACACGAATTCAAGTCATAAACAGTTAAAATGTTCTTTTAATGTCTTTTTTTTTTTAATCAGTTTCACTTGAAGCTCAGCAGTGGAAATATTTTTTTCCTGTAAATGAATCTATCAAACCCGCTTAAATTTTTATATGGGAATAAATATTTTACCTTTCTTTGACATTCCATGTTTATCACTGTGTTCGGTGGTTAATCGCAAAGTAAGAGAATTTTCTTAAGTAACTTGTGTTCATTTTATTTTAATTTTCTCTAAATAAATAGACACGTGTACACATTTGCCAACAGATTTAGTCAGGGATAACTCCAATATGATAACATGTAACCCAGTAGGAGCCATCCATGCTGAAAGTGTTACGAGCGAAAGATATATTCACATGGTTGTGATGCATAGTTTCAAAAACATGGAGAAATATCTTAACTGTCAGCTGTATACAAATGCTTTACCAGACCAACTTTTAAAATAACATTAAACGAAATCTAGATATATTTAAAACAAATCATTCTTCTGTGAACATCGTGAGCACTCGCTATAGATTCACCAACAAAGAATAATACGAAGTAACTGAAATTACATCACTTTCAACAATAGCAAAAATTAAAATTATTACATGTATTTAAAAGAGAAAATGATATATTCAATGCATTGTGATTCTGCACTATTTCCAACGAAAGGTTATGAAGGAAGGTCTCGTAAGTACTGGAAAGTGCAAAATGAGAATATTTGGACTTCATAAAACTGTGTCTTTTTTCTGAAAAATTGTTCTGGTGTAAATATTTGATAAATTTCAACCGACGGTATCACGGGTTACTCGATAAATGAATACTGAATGTTTCTTCATAAGGAAGCGGCTTGCGTTACATTTTGTTTAATCATTTGACCCCAGACAACGCAATCAATCCACTATAACCTAAAGTGCTACTGGGAGAGAAAATATGAGAAAAACAAACATTATTAAGAAGAACGAACAATAAAACAGGAATTACGAATACAGAAGATAACGATTGAAAATGCATTTAAATTGCTGAAGATCAAAGTTGACTGAACATTCAGAAGCCTAAAGAGATTTCCACACGGGAGAAGTGGGAGATAATAGAACTTGCGGTTACATCTAGCCATTTCAAATGTAAAATGATGAGACCTTGCTGCCAGTCTTGTAGTACGCTTAAACTCATGGACTCTAGGTAGCAAAGAGGGAAGCTAAGCAGAACAAGTACCATGAAAATATTTATAGAAAAGGTACAGTGAAGATACGTTATGTCAACTGGGAAAGTGATTGAAACACCGATGCCAAGTTAAGAGCAGTAACGCTGAAGATCAACGATGACTGGAAATCAAGAATCTGGAAGAGAGTTGCAAAGGCGAAAAGTGTAAGAGATGGAAGTCTTAGCAAAGAGCATACTGTTTCTTTTGATTAATTTCAGCTCTAGAATTATGAGACCATTCCGCCAATCTAGTAATGCGCTTAAATTCGTAGTCTTTGTACCAAAAAGGAAAGCTTATCAGAACATTTAATATTATAATTATCATACACTTGCATTTCTAAATAATTGGTCTAGTATGTTTCAGCAAAATTTTATTAATATGAAGGTTCGGAACTAATGTTGCCAGTGATGTCAGAATCGAAAAATTATTGTATGGCAGTAGAAGATAAACATTACCATAAATAAACCACAATTGCTTTTGTCTTGTTAAAACTAAAACCTGGTAAAATGGCATCTGTCACGACCAATACGTAGGAATTGATTTAAGTGCTTGTAAAACTTTTCAGTAGATGTGCTCGTTGCGTAGGGGTTATTGATTTAAAGTGTGTAATTACATTCACTGAGTTCAAATTCTAGCTGAGCGGGTATGTCTTCGAAGAATTTCCTTTAAACTGTATGAATTCATCCCTTCTCTCCCTCATCTAGGTGTTAATAAGAGGACAGTTTAAATAAATGTCATTTCTGAATGTAAATCTTTTGGGTATGGGGCTAGCAACTCAAATCCGTAAAGATACTATCCACAAGAGAAACAACAGAAGTAATTCGCTATGCCGTATAGAGCAATGTGACCACTGAATTATTTATCTATTTTAACACGTCCAGAAAAAAAAAGAAAGATTAAGCACTGTATAGTGCAACCAGTCACCGAAAATATAATTTTTCATGCTTAAAAAATAAAGAGTACCTTCGCATAATACGCACCATCTATTTCTTGCGTAAAGAACTCGTCATAAAAACTCGAGTTATACTTCACATACAAGTCAACAAGGACTAGATGCATACATACGATGCGTTTCAGCAGTGGTGACAGGGATCTGTGCGAAAAACTACGTTACAGGTAATACTGAGCAGATGCAAATTCATGAAAATACGAAACTAAGGGAGACGAATAAGTGAATAAATAGTGTTTTTAATGGAGTGCTCTGTATACCTTGTAATTCCCATGGAAATAATTCGGAATTATTAAAAACTTTTACACATAAACCCGTAAATAAATAAAACAAAATCACGCATTCAAATAAAATTGACTCATTAGACAGAAACAAATAAAATATTGGTAATTGTAATTTTAGCCGTTTACCTACAGCGAAACAGTTGGCATAATTGCCTGATGACCAGTCCTATGTGCAATTTTAAAAAATCTTTCTCAGCTGTTTAGGAAAGGAGATTTCCAGTACCGCTAACATTCTTTCCAATACTGATTGGGGTTTCCTTCTGTCTGAAGTAGTGTGGTACGTTAATCTCTAGATTATGTCCTTATGTTCTCATTTGGTATCAATTTTATGTGTTATTTCTGCTGAAAGTCGTACAATTATGTGGTGTCTGTTATGTGGAGCAGTTCATAATACCTTTTCCCAATGTAACAGACACTACTAATAATGACCTAAAACTAAGCGTTTACCAATATCATTTAATAAAAACAAATTCTATATACACCAGGAAAACATCAACACATTGTTAATTATCGGCTTCGATGTAATTGTTTTTTTTTAATTTGTAGACTTCACTATGTATATAATGTAGAAAAATGTATTGAAAACATCTTTATTCTTTTCCTATATTCTTATTATTTCATATATAATGCTCGATGCAAAGCTCATCGTGTTCATAAAAGTTAAAAAAATAAATATAAATAATCTTCATAAAACACTACCTACCAATTCAATGACGACGAAAATTTTAAATAATTTATTGACACATAATAAAAAAAATATATCAATTTAGAATATAAACGACTCAGTTGAACAGATTTGATACAGAGAAATATAAAAGGTTTACGGAATATATGTATTCAATAAAGTTATTAAATCGATAAAGCTATGTTGAAAACGTTGTAAATGTATTTTTAATTAGGCGGATGGAAAAAAAACGTAACGTCTGACACGATATCAGAATGCCACTTAAACCCGCCAAAAATAAATAAAATAAATAAATAAAATAAATATAAAATAGACATTTATTGATTGGCGTTTACCTCCGGGTAACATAATAGCCAAGACATTAGTCGAGTTAAATTAATTACTTTGATTTATGTCCTAGGATATTTTTTTCAAAATACGCATAAATAGAAGAAAAGTAATTTTAACTCTAATGCTCGGAGACAGGTCAACAGCGCTGAAAACATAGAATGAGAAGGCTTATCCTGAAAAGACATGAGAATTTTGAGAGAAAAATGTATTATGAAGATTAAAGCCGATTAAAGATTCACTGGAAAACATTTCGCTAAAATAGATGCATAATGAAAGGCGCAATGAGCCTAAAGCATAAATGTATTATATATGTAAAGAAATGCAGAAGTATCTAGCCTCCCACCTGCGACCGGTTTTCAAAGCACGGGAACGGGAAGGTTTCACAAATGAATATGAAACAAAATCTTATTCCCTAAACGAAAATAATATACTGCTTAATAAAAAAACGAAGCGTATACAGAAATATGAGTATCCATTAAAAAATAACGGCTAAATTAGAAAAGAAAGAATTGTCAGATAAATAAATCAAATATCCATTACTTTTACTGAATTACTTTGTATACGATTGTATACGAAACTGAGTAGATATGATAATTTCAAGGTATCTATGACCAGAATGATTTGCGCTTAGAAGCGCTAATCAGACCTTGCCTCATCAACGAAGTTTCTTCGCGAGCGAGTCTGTTAAAGCACGTATCTAACGACGGTTTCTCTGTGCTCTGGATGCAGGTTCGAAACCTAATGAAGCGTGCATATTTTTCTTTAAGATTTCTCGTACATTCAGGCCGGTAGACGAAAACAAATAAATACGCTGTTTAATAAATAAAAGGAGGGTTTATGTAAATATTGTCATCCACTAAAAAGTAATTTTGAAAATGAATATTGCATTAATATTTTTGTGAATAGCGATGATTTTTAGAGAGAGACACCATACTATTTAATGAATTGCCTCGGAAAAGCGGTGGATTCCTAAATTTCTCAAGATTATCAGTTCGAAAGGGAAAGCAACGAACCCGGCTGGATTTCGATCTCAGCTCTGCGACTTCGCATTCCGGCGGTTACACACACACATCCACAAGAGCGAGAGAGATAGCCAGAGAACGATAGATATAGAGAAACATTGATACCGAGAGAGCTTGATAGAGAAATATATAAAGAGGAAGAGATAAAAAAATAAATATCAAGAGGAATAGATAAAAAGAAGGATATATATATATATATATATATATATATATATATATATATATATATATATATATAGGCAGCATTTTTTCATATAATTTTGAAACAGTTTTCAGCTTCAGATTTATTGGTAGATGTCCTGTTTGCTGCTGTTAAGTGTGTACAATTTTTCTTTGGCTATTTCACAAGACAAAATTTATAAATCCAAGTGTTGATAGTTGATGGTGGGCTGCTGGATCATGTAATTTAAATTGTGTGTATTTAGGCAGCATTTTTTCATATAATTTTAAACCTTGTGAAAAGGCAAATTGAAATAGCCAAAGAAAAATTGAACACCGTTAACAGCAACAAACAAGACATCTACCAATAAATCTGAAGCTCAACACCGGTTTAAAATTATATATATATATATATATATATATATATATATATATATATATATATATATATATATATATATATATATAATGAGATAGAAAGATAAAATGA